TCACTCCAAATGGAACCGCGCCAAGCCAAACAGGNCATTTGTATCCTTTGTTTTGAAAATGTCGACCAACTGGTTGAGGATCGAATTTCTTTTATTTCTATCGTGGTAATATAATCATTGTCCACCACTTTCATAAACAAGGTAAACTTTCATACAATAAAGAATAAGCGTTTTTCACTTTTTGAGATGTTTGCTCAGTGACAGAAAGACGGAGACTGCGCCAAAAAAACGAGGGTTTTCTCCTTCACGACCAGGCCACAGTGCCAAAATCCCCACCCTCCACGCCAGGTTTTCCCATTCATTAACGCGCCATGCCGTCGTCGCGCCGTAGATATTTGGAGAGGCGCGATGGAGTTTGGTCCTGCACAGCCGGGCACGCCAGTTCAGTTTTGCCATTGACGTGATTTTTGGAACGGCGTCGCTCCGTTTGGACTGCTAGGAGCGATCGGGAATGGCTACCTTACCACCAGGTATAACCTTGGCGCTGCCTTGTCATCCAAAATAAATTGTAGAGCTCATTTGGAATAAACACATACTACAGCTAAGAAAGGAATAAATTATGCACCGAAAAACATCCTAAAATGAAATAGTGTTCCCTTGCTTTCAAACTAAAAGTATTTTAGGCCGTTAGCAGAACTCTAATGTATTTCAGTGGGGAAATTTTGGGGTTTGTGCAAAACGATGTGGTTGAAAGTTTTACTAAGTCTTTTATAAAAATGTTTGCACTTCCTGATTTTACTACAAACTATATTTTGTAGTTGGAAGGTGGACATAAGGAGCTGTTCCAGTATACGTTATCATTTCACTTCAATTACAAAAAATGACTTTGGAGCTTGCTAATTATAGCATGCCTTTTATAATAGCTAAAGAGGTTATAAAAAAGCAAACTCACTGCTATAAATAGTGCACAAACCTGGATAGTAAATTCAATTTGATAAACAGTGCACAAACCTGGCTAGTAAATTGAATTTGAATATTCCCGATGAAATCTTTGAAAAACCAGTAAATCTAGTAAAGTTTACCAGATAACTGATCTTGCATTGAGATTTCCCAAAAACCTAAACGTTAAACATTATTCAACAGTTTCTCTTATCACAGTATCATCTATTATTATAAAAATTTAAATTCACTAATTTCGTGGTCCGCTTGACCAATTAATACATTACAATTAATTAAGGTTTTTAGTTGAGATGAAAAAAGTTAATGGCACGAGAGGGATTCGAACCCACGACCTTCGGCTTGATACGCCTCATAAAGTGGGGTTGAGATGGGGAGTTGATGTCCGAGAGGATCGAGGTCACGATAGATCAGGTGGTAGAGCAGCGGCGTATCAAGCCGAACGTCGTGGGTTCGAATCCCTCTCGTGCCATTAACTTTTTTCATCTCAACTATAAACCTTAATTAATTGTAATAAAAATTTAAATTTAATTTAAAAAATAATTATTATTCTAATGATAACAATAGTAGTACAATAATGAAGGGAAGAACTGAAATGATTTATGTATTTTAGAAAGGTTAAGATTGAAATTTTTTAACTAAATTGTTATTTGTGTAACCCGAATATATTCGAGAATCATTTTCATTATTTGACTGTGTACACAATTTTAGGAGAAATTAAATTTAAACATTTATACAAATTTAAATTATCAGATGAGTTATTATTGTATTTAAAGAGTCTAAATTGGCGGACATTATTTAAATTTTTGAAACCATTTTTTTTTCTAAATAACGTCTATAATAAGAGAATACGAAACCCATCAACGTTTTAAAGAACTAATATATAGTTCAAATTTACTCTGTTATAATTAATTAAGGTTTTTAGTTGAGATGAAAAAATTTAATAGCACGAGCGGGATTCGAACCCACAATCTTCGGCTAGATACGCCGCTGCTCTACCACTTGAGCTATCGTGACCCTCGGACATCAACTACCTATCTCCCCACCTTATGAGTTTTCCCTCCTTACTCTGTTAGTGTATTGTTTATTAGAGCCTTTTTATCATACAACTTCCTGTACAAACATATTTCATCACGGAAAAATATTTAGTCAGAGTAATTCATGTTTACAGTTTTTTCATTCTGACCAAATTTTTATTATTTATCTTATGATCTTTGAGGTCATCAACATATTTTTTTTTGCTTGAAACCGGAAATCGGCGTTAATTAATTATTTGATTGATAATTTTGACGAAATTTTCTGCCTGAATAATTCCTAGCGGAGGCCCTAACACCATTTTTCTCTTAAAGAAATTGTCATTTTTTTGTTAGATATATTTGATATTTACAACTACAAATATTACTACGGATTATTACTTTTATTTAAAAACACTAGGTTAATTTCTTACAAATCATTTTACCATTTTGTGATTTTCTTATATAAATTTTTATTGTACATATTTCGCCAAGAATTTATGATCTTCTTTCAGATATTACATTTCACGTTAAAATGCTTTTGGCCGTTTTTGAATTATAGCCGTTTCCATTAGATATCCAATAGACTT